AGAATGTAAAGAAGCTACATTCTGATACAATGTAACTTCTTTACATTAGAATGTAAAGAAGTTACATTGTTGCCTTTTCTTTCTTTTCTTCCCACAACAACGTAATTTTGTCAGGTTGATAAAAATGTCACTTTACTTCCTGACATTGTTGTTTTACCACAGGGGTGTCCAAACTTCTTTCAAAGAGGGCCAGATTTGATAATGTGAAAATGCCCAAGGGCCAACAGTCCCTGCTGACATTATTTTAAACAATACAAGTAGCCTATACATACATTGTTATTTAATCATTTTATTTTCAATGACAGCAAATAGCAATGTAACCAAATGTAAGCATTCATGTGTGAACACATCTCAACAACTATTCTGCCTTTCTTTCACATCTTGAAAGTCAGATAACACAAAGAACAAGCCATCTAAAAGCTAATTACATAGAAACCGATCAATGTTCTCACCTCAAGACAATCTTAAATATGACTTGGTGAGGGTAATGAAAAGTTGTCTCACATTTAAGTTCAACACACATGAAACAGGCTAACGAAATAAATCAAGTTGTCTCTTAGTATCTGATGATAGCTCTTCAGTGTTCGGTCTTCTTCTCGGGGCAATTATGTTTTCTGCTATTTTCATAACAGTCTTTGATAAACTCACCTTCCGTAAAAGGTTTGTCATGTTTAGCAGTTAGCATGGCCACTTGGTAGCTGACTTTGATGATGTTTTCATGTGAAAAGGACCGCTGCTGTGTGGCCAAGTTATCTTGGAGTTGCTTCACTTTTCTAGCACGGTCGCTCTCATAGCTTGTTGTAGCATTAGCATGTTTGGTCTCGTAGTGTCTCTTTACATTATATTCCTTAAACTAGGCAACAGTCTCATGACTAATTAGGCAGACACAGTTGTTTCGGTTTTCGGTGAAAAAAATATTGCGATCTCCACCTCTCCTGGAAGCCGCAGCCCTCATTATCGACTTTCCTTTTTTTACTTGCCGTAACATGACAGGTCAAGGGTCAGAGCCAATTTCAAACAGCCAGACAGTTACAGAGTGGTGCTGCCACCATGAGGTAGAAAGAGGAATTGCATGTTGAATTTGTATGATTTATTCATTCCGTTTTGACTGTGCTGGCAGGCCATAAATAATGCATTTTAAGACAGAAGGTGCGGGCCATATAAAATCTGACCTCAGGCCCGCGGGCCGGACTTTGGACATGCCTGACCTAAGGGGTCGGGATGGTTCATAAGGTAGCAGCAGATCAGAGATGTACCATTCAGTGCTTTATAAAAAAACAGCAGGATTTTAAAGTCAATTCTTTGTTGGACAGGAAGCCAGTGCAAAGACCTCAGAACTGGAGTGATGTGATCCACTTTCTTGGTCTTAGTGAGGACTCGAGCTGCAGCGTTCTGATTGACTTTTTACAGAGACTGTAAACACACCGTTACAGTAGTCGAGTCTGCTGAAGATAAATGCATGGACAAGTTTTTCCAAATCCTGTTGAGACATAAGTCCTCTAATCCTTGATATATTCTTCAGGTGATTGTAGGCTGATTTTGTAATTGTCTTGATATGGCTGTTCAGGTTGAGGTCTGAATATCATAACTACACCTAAATTTCTGGCTTGGTTTGTGGTTTTTAACATCAGTGATTGAAGCTGAGTGCTGACTTTCAATCGTTCGTCCTTGGTACCAAAAACAATTATTTCTGTTTTATCTTTGTTTAATTGAAGAAAATTCTGGCACATCCAGTTGTTGATTTGTTCAATGCATTTACCCAGCCCTTGTATGGGATTATAGTCCTCTGGTGATATATTTATGTAGATTTGTGTGTCGTCTGCATAATTACGATAACACACTTTGTTGTTTTCCATAATCTGAGCTAGGGCTGCACGATTATGGCCAAAATCATAATTTGATTATTTTGATCAATATTGCGATCACGATTATTTATCACGATTATTCATTAATTTTAGGGACAACATCTTTTTATTGCACTTTCACGTTTAAATGAACAAGAACACTGCTTCCACTTCCATTGTTGTGCTACATTCTGGCTAATGTACAAATCTTTGCATCAGACTGGTCCTTATCACAGTGCATCTCGTAGAAGGAAAATATAAATAAAATAGTATCAACACTTTTTACCAAAAATTAAATCAACAGAGCACTGCTTTCACTTCCATGTTGTGCTACATTCCAGCTAATGTACACGTCTACATCAAAATAAAACTTATGTGTGTTGCTCACAGTATTTATTGGACACATGTCTTTGGCCAAATGAAATACGATTGCATCCGTTATTTCAGTGTGTCTTTGGGAGGTGGATGGATACGCTGTCGCGCTATGCAGGGCCGCTGTTATGGTTTTCTTGGTTGACGTTGGACATGGACGGAGATTCAGTGAGGTAACGTTAGCTTTGGCCTTAATACATTCATCGTACTGTGGTTTGTGGTGATTTTTCAGGTGGTTGAACAAGTTAGTTGTATTGCTATGCGGCGCAGACACAACTCTAACGCACTCTGTGCATATGATTTGTTCTTGGTTAACATCACTTGGCCTAAATCCAAAAAACTTCCAGACAACGGATGATGATCCTTGTCGAGGGGCTAGCTCCTCGCCTTCTGCTCCTGACATTTGATTTAGCTTTCACACGACACCCGTGACCGTCTGTTCTGTTGTCTGTCGCTCTACTCTTCTACTAATACCGGAGTCTGCAGGGTGCGCGCATGACACCTCCCATCTCGTTCGCCCCCTGGTGGTCTGCTGACTGTTAGTTGAGGAAGCGCTTGATTTGATATGTAGCAGAGCACGCATTTCAAACGTCAATATCGCTGACGATCATGCTCATTTAATCGTGGCAGCCAAAATCGTGATCGCGATTAAAATTCGATTAATTATGCAGCCCTAATCTGAGCTAGTGGAAGCATGTAGATGTTGAACAGAAGAGGCCCCAGTGTTGAACCTTGGGGGACACCACATGTCATTTTAGTCAGCTCTGATGTGTAATTAGCTACAGACACAAAGTATTCTCGGTCCTTCAAGTAGGATTCAAACCAGTTAAGTGCCGTGCCAGAGAGTCCCACCCAGATTTTTTAATCTGTCTAGTAGTATGTAATGGTTGACCGTGTCGAATGCAGCACTGAGATCTAGTAATACTAAGACTGAAATTCTGCCACTGTCTGTGTTTAAGTGGATGTTGTTGAAAACCTTAACAAGAGCAGTTTCAGTACTGTGGTGCTGTCGAAAGCCTGACTGGAAGACATCAAAACAGTTATTTACGGCCAAGAAGTTGTTCAGCTGTTGAAAAAACACTTTTTCAATTATTTTTCTTAAAAATGGGACGTTTGATATTGGCCTATAATTTTTCATTGTTGCGGAGTCTAAATTAGCCTTCTTTCGGAGTGGTTTAATAACTGCAGTTTGTAGGGCTTGTGGGAAGACACCTGAGAGAAGGGATGTGTTTACAATTTGTAAAAGATCAGTGGTCATGCAGTTTGAAATATTTTTGAAAAAGTGTGTTGGTTATCCAAGCAGCAGGAGGATGACTTCAGATGTTGTATAATGTCTTCTAGGCTTCCAAGGTCGATTGAATGAAATTGTGTCGTGATATTTGAATGGATGTTATTTAGAGATGGGGGCAACACACATCCTGTGGTTGGTGTGGGGGCAGTGACTGCTTGTCTAATTTTCTGAATTTTGTCAGTAAAAAAGGAGGTAAATTGATTGCATGCCCAGGTGGATTGGAGCTCAGCAGCTACTGACACTGGAGGGTTTGTTAGCCTGTCGACGGTAGCAAATAAGGCACGTGTATTGTTATTGTTTTTGGTTATGATGTCAGAGAAGAAGGACTGCCTTGCATTTCTAAGTTCCAAATTATAATTGCGAAGTCTCTCTTTATAGATGTCACAGTGAACCTGGAGATTTGTTTTTCGATACCTGCGCTCAGCTTTCCGACACTCTCGTTTCTCTATTCTGACCAGCGTAGCATTTCTCCAAGGAGATCTTTGCTTACCCGAGACAACCTTCAATTTAGTGGGTGCAATGGCATCAATAATATTTTTTACTTTAGAATTGAAGCTATCTACAAGCTCATTGACTGAGATGCAAGAGAGGGCTGGTGTGGAGGAGAACATCTGAATACATAGTTCACTGGTGTTTTCAGAGATGTAACGCTTTGTCACAACCTCGGTTTGGATATTTGTGTGCAAGGAGATTGCACTCTCAAAGACAGAAATGATCAGAGAGTGCAACATCAGTCACAGCGACCTTGGAAATGTTTACACCTTTGGTGATGATTAGGTCCAGAGTGTGCCCCCTGTTGTGGGTGGGTCCTGTCATATGCTGAGTCAGATCATAGTTATCAAGGACACCACATAGTTCTATAGATCCTCTGTCCTGGGGATTATCAACCTGGATCACCTGGCCAACGTCTATAAGTGGACACTCTCTGCAAAAGTTACCGGGATGCCCGCACCTCCACACTCCTGCCCCGATGCTGGCCTTTTTAACATGGTGCCGTGGAAAAGAAGTTCAGACCGGGCCTACTCGAACTCTATTCTTATTCTATACTTAATACCTATTGGTGTCCTGATCTTTGAAGAATGCACTGGAATCAGACAGAGTTCAATACGATAGAGTTTATTCTTCAAGCAATGAACACAACCCGAGTCATTCTCTGGAAAGCTTTGATCCTTACTTAGGCAAATGTATGTTGACCCATTCAGACCACACTATATTCACACTAGTTCTCAATATGTGGATGTCATATATGTGAGTTTCAAACATTTAGATATATTCAAACAAATAGATATAGTCGATGGTGCTATTATGATAAATCACTAGAAGCAGTGACAACAACCCACCACAGTAATCTGACTAAGATACTAAAATAGAGTTCAACAAATAATCTCTTGCAGGTGGAGAAAGAAAAGGCCCCTGTGTTCCAGAACATCACAGACAGCACCAGAGCACAGAACCCCCACCCATACTTTTTACAATTTAGAAAGGCAAAGCTTGATTCTTGCAGAATTGTGTCAATATTTAAACATATATAATTTTCCAGCTGAAAGGCAGACTGTTCTTGACTTTCTGTTCTCTGAAAAATGATCAGTGTGATAAAATAATATATATTCCATCCTAAAGCTGTATTAGGATTTAGCAGGTGTCACAAAGTCACACAGTCAAACGCTTTGTATCACATGCAAATAAGATTTAAAAAAGACACACGACTTGTATAAAGACAATAGTAAACATACTCACAAATGTTTGTTGTAAAGACAAGCAAATGAAGTAGATGAGGTCATTTGGGTCTGTTTGTTTGTTTCCAGTATATCTCAAAAACAACAGACTTTAATGACATTTGGTGAAACGTTAGGCCATTTTCTATGGGATAGCACCACCATGTGGCCATTTATAAAGTACTTTATATTTTGTATGTAAACTCCTAAAGCATGAGGTCTAAAATCAAACGGGATTCTTTGGTAAATAATAATTTTATCAGTCCAGAGATGTGATTAATTCACAGCTATGTTTCATCTTGACCTGAGCTGTGGACAGATTCTCCCGAGCTAGTTCTCCAGCTGTGTAAAGCCTGTGTCGAAAACTGTTAATGTACTCAATCAAGTTTTTAGGAGGCTCTGCTTCTTTCCAGTTACCAGACAATGTAGGTAAGGGACCGCATACGGTGTGCGCAAACAGCAGTTAATTTGGGCTAAACCCAGTGCTCTCTTGTGTTACCTCTCTAGCTGCAAGCATTAACCAGGACACACCGTCTTCGCAGTCTCATACCAACTCAATGCAGAAAGCGTGCAGGAGGGACTTTAAAGTTTGATGGAAGCTATGAAGGCAAATCAATGTCAAAATCCACGAGCAACAAATGAGATCTATAGTACGTGCGTATCACTCCACTAAACGCCACTAAACACTACATCTCAGAGGTAAATATTTGTCTGACAGCTTTTGTTAACTTCTCAGACTGTAGAGGCTGTAACAAAGTAGTAATGGCGTTTTGTAAATAAATTGGAGTCCCAGAGATTGATTTAAATTCACTCCGCCATTCTATTACATACAATGTGGGTTTTATGTTCAAACCTCTTGTGAAAAACAACTCAAAGAAACTCTTTGATCTTCATCGATTAAAACATAATGTGATCATATTTAATCATGCTGTTGTGTTTACAGAAGTGAACAGATATAATGTAGTTAATATCAGCAACAATTTTGACCCGGTCAAGGATCTGGAGCCATGGTTAGGAACCACTGTTCGTATATTAACTGTTTGCCAAGTGCTTTACAAATCACTGGCTTTGTAAATATATATTTATGTGGAAATGTGCATTGTATCCTTTGTTCTTTTTATGTGTCCCTGTGACAGGGTTAGGGTTAGACTTTGCTGCTCGTTTTGATATGTGTTATATAAATAAGCATTATTATTAGTGTAATGTTAAGTTTAAAGGAAAACAAAGAAAACAATATTCTTGGGAGTGTAACATAGAAAGTAATGGACTACTCAGTCTTGTATTTTTTGCAGGGCTACTGCTCCAGTCCAGTAGGTGTCGCTAATGTGCCCGTTCGCTAGCCTGCTAACCAGAAGAACACACTTCCGGGATAAACAAGGACATGTGTGTTAAATAACTATCTTTGTTAATGTCGTTTTCTGTCTCTATCCTTTAACTTCGTTGGGTCAGTCACTCAAATGCATGAATACTATTAGAAGTGTTACTTAAACAGACACCGTTAGTTAGCGTCCCTCGACTTTATTTATGGCTGCCTCGGTTCATGTCTCCAAAGTCCGGTCTTTGTACAAGAGGATTCTGATCCTGCATCGGTTCCTGCCGATAGATTTAAGAGCCCTCGGCGACCAGTATGTGAAAGACGAGTTCAGAAGACACAAAGGTGCTGCAGCTGAGGAGGCGAAGGGCTTCATGGCAGAGTGGGAGGTAAAACCATTGCATCTCATACGGCACCAACCAAACCCCATTCATTAATCTCTCAATCTAAAAACAGGGTTCCATGATTGCTGCTGGGGGAACTCTCATAGACCTCACTCACAACATGCCCTCCGTCTTACTATTCATTTATTCCAACAGAGTGTACAGCTTCATTAGGTCTGAAATCAGATATAATAATAGATATAGATATGTGGACTGAGCTATTAAAGTGCTGCTTTGTTGATTTATCCCGAATTAACCACAATACATTCATTTTTTTAAATGTAGCAAAACTAAAACTCAAACTGAACTCAGTTTGTCCCTGTGTCCGGTAACGTTGCAGATTGCATAGTTATTTCTAGGAAATGTCATCTAAATTCATAGGATATTATGGACTTGTAAAATAAAGCATTATTGTTTTGTTTCCCAAAATAGAAGTCTACATGCTGTTTCAAAGCACGCTGTTGAGAATAGTTCTGAAATGTTGTGGTGGAGAAATAATGAATGAAATATTATTTTTTTGCCTAAAAGTGGTCATATTGAGTCTGGCAAAACTTGAATCAGCCTGTAGGACCCACCGTGAGGCATCAGTTGTAGAATGTTAAAGAACCAGATTTCCCTGTAAAATGACTACAGACATGACCTCAGTGTTGTAAATGCTGTCTGCACCCAAGGTCCTCTTTGACTTGACCCGTCCTCAGTAATGTCGTCTCTGCTGGCTGATGCATTCCCGTGTGATGTCAGTCCGTCACCACATGATGGCAGAGCAGTGTCAGGAACCAGGAGGCCAACATGGAGGGACTGTTGGAGGTGATTGTAGACTGAATATTTATGGTTAAGCTCATAGTTCTAAGTCACACCGTCACAATGTAAATATTGTAAATATTGAACACGTGTTATTGTTGGACCCAGGGGACTTTATTATTTGGAATCATAAGACAGTCAGTGAAGGTCTGTGGGAAAGTTAAACTCTGTTTTTCACACTGTGAAACTCACAGCTGTCACTGCCGGCTAAACAGAATGTAGTGCCGAGCCCACCCCGGTATGAAATCATATATACATTATTATATAAAATGTATTCCATACACTATCTGATCATGTTGGCCAATCTATCCGACTATGGGAACAGGGAAATGTTGAGCTTGAAGGTTCATTATTGTTGGAAATGGTAGTTTGACAAAACAAATCTTAGTACGAGGCCCTTTGATTTGGTATTTTTCAGTCTCATTAGAATATCATGATTTGATTGGTTGAAGTATTATGTCAATAATCAATACTCATTTCATAATTGACCAATATATTAAAATAAGTTGTATAACAAACATTGTTCTTGTATCAGCAGATATGCATCTTCTTCACCAGTATACCAGTGGTCTAGTCCAGTAGTGTGTGTTGCCTTCGCCTTGTGTTTGTTTTGGAATAATTATGATAATAAAACAAAAATTATCCAAATTGTGTTTCCTTCCAGAGAAATATAGCTACAGTAAGGCTGCACAATTAATCGAATATTAATAATAAAATGAACATGAGTGATTGTGATTTTGATGTTTGTGCTGCGTGGTCTGTTCATTGTAAACTCCGCTGCTGATGCCCATGGATGAGTTAAGAGGCCTGGACACAGCGGTGAAGGCTGGGACACGTTCGTTGCGATGAAAGTGGCTCATGAAGCAAAAAAGGTTTAACTTCCAAGTCTTTCGCATCAGTGGGCCCGTAGAGCAAGCACCCTGGCGCCTCCCAGCCCTCGGTCCAGTCTTGTTCTCGGCCTCATCCACATGAAGGAGGAAGGGAAATAATTCTGGCTTCAACTTTTAGTGCATTTTATAACTTTTAGGACATAATGATTTAAATAAGGGCTAGTTAATTGTTCATACTGGGAAGTTGATTCACCTCACAAAAAAGAATCCGTCGAGTTACAGATGTCTCTAAGTCTATGGTGAAAAGTCTTTTTTGGGGTGCCATGACATCATGTGACGGACCCTAAATTGTAATTGCACCATTTGGCCTCTAGGCTTGGTCATGGTGCTGTGCTTGCACCCTACAGCATCAGCCTGTGAAAAAGGTCCCTGAACGTTGCAGCTGTAGTCCAGAGTAGAGTAATATACTGAATACTTGTTTTGCCATCTGCTGTGTTTTATTAGAGTGAAATGCACTGAAGATGAAGAACCTTATTGTAAGTCATATTTTGATGCAAAGACTTGCAAATTGGCAGGAATTTAGCACAAAAATATCCATTTTAATTGTATTATTTTCATTGCATATGATTTTATTTTAGTATATTAATTAACGCAGGCCTTGTGTGATCTGATGCTAAAGTCTGGGAGAAACCTCAGTGGAGTTGGAGTTAGACCTGGATTCATGTGCTGATGGGGGATCAGTATATTTGCAATTTGTCCTCTAGTTCCCAAAATAATCACGAGAGTGCGCCAGGTCTTTTTTTATGTCACTACGGGGGAGAGCTAATGTTTTCTAGCACAATTACGCACTGCTGGGGGATGGTAAATCACCCATCTGCAGCCAATTTATCTAATGAAGTAGATGGTGATTGCAGATGGATTCCTGAGAGCTCCTTCTGTCATTGCCATAGCTGTGAAGCCACCGGGGAGGAAGTCACTTTCATTATGCCTCACTGTATCAGTATGCATTGTTGTCAAACCCAGAGGCCATTTGCATTGGTTCCAATTAGGGGACGAGTGGCTTTTGTCATATTTACACTCTTCTTTGGCTGTATGTCAAATGGAAACATTTCTAGGCAAAACTTAGTTTGAGTAATTGAATAATTGAATAATTGTCCACGATAAGTTGGTGAGAAAAACACCTGAGCTGCACTGTTGGCCCCATGTGGACACACAAAGAGCAGAACATGATGCTGAAATCGCCCTAGCCAATGATGACTTCTGGATTTCATCTTCAGTTCGCGACCACTGTTTGTACGTGAGCGTAATGAACTGGCAGTCAAGCGATGGATGAATCAAGTAGCATATCAGAAAATAAATAATAATGTTTTAAACACAAACAAATACTTCCACCCCGTCGCATCCGTCCGGCCCCCACCTTCCACCGCCTTCTTTTCCAGGAATAGCGGCTGGGGTCAACAGCTGCTGTGGTTCTCTCCTGATGCTGTATTCAATTTCATTTTTTAAAATCCAAAGCTTGCATTGAGGTTCTCGGATGAATCTTTGAACGTCTGTGGTGCTCTCATGCTAGACTGCCCCATTCATAAAGGAGCGTGCGGGAGAAAGAACGCAGTGAAAGTCATGTTTGAAAGGCTAAACGCAAATATGGATTGAATCTGAATATCTTGTTAGATAAAAACAAAATTTAAAAAGGAAGATAAATTTAGATTTAAAAAATATATAAAGTTAAGATGAAAACAAATTTAGGAAATGATTTCCAACCTGACGGATTACATTTCACATTTGATTTAGAATTGCATTCCATCCATCCATCCATCCATTTTCCACCGCTTATCCGGGGTCGGGTCGCGGTGGCAGCAGGTCAAGCAGGCCGACCCAGACCTCCCTCTCACCGGCAACATGTTCCAGCTCATTCTGGGGGATCCCGAGGCGTTCCCAGGCCAGCTGGGAGATGTAATCTCTCCAGCGTGTTCTGGGTCTTCCCCGGGGTCTCTTCCCAGTTGGACGTGCCTGGAAAACCTCCAGTGGGAGGCGTCCAGGAGGCATCCTAATTAGATGCCCGAACCACCTCAGCTGACTCCTTTCGACGCGAAGGAGTAGCGGCTCTACTCCAAGCTCCCTCCTGATGACCGAGCTCCTTACCCTATCTCTAAGGCTGAGCCCGGCCACCCTACGGAGGAAACTCATTTCGGCCGCTTGTAGCCGCGACCTTGTCCTTTCGGTCACGACCCAGAGTTCGTGACCATAGGTGAGGGTAGGAACGTAGACCGAGTGGTAAATTGAGAGCTTTGCCTTCCGGCTCAGCTCCCTCTTCACCAAGACGGTCCGGTGCAGCGCCTGCTTTACTGCTGCAGCTGCACCGATCCGTCTGTCGATCTCCCGCTTCATCTTACCCTCACTCATGAACAAGACCCCGAGATACTTGAACTCCTACTTGAACTCAATTAAAACATGTTCCTTCATTAGCAAGAATACATATTGTAGTTTATTTTCATAAAGAAAGTAAAATGATTTATAATTGTTCTTTTTATATTAATTGCCCGCATAGTGTCCATTAGCACTTTATTAATTTGTAAAAAAGTATTTTTTTCTGATTTGAATTGAGTTCAAGCTCCTTGAGGTAGGCACTCCGTCCCCACCTGGAGGGAGCAATCCACCGGTTTCCGGCAGAGAACCATGGCCTCAGATTTGGAGGTGCTAACTCTCATCCCCGCCGCTTCACACTCTGCTGCAAACCGCCCCAGTGAATGCTGGAGGTCACGATCCGAGGAGGCTAACAGGACCACATCATCTGCAAATAGCAGAGAGGCGATCCCGAGACCCCCGAAACTGATGTTCTCCGCCCCCAGGCTGCGCCTAGATATCCTGTCCATGAAAATCACGAACAGGGCCGGTGACAAAGGGCAGCCCTGGCGGAGGCCAACACCCACCGGGAACGTGTCTGACTTATTGCCGAGAATGCGGACACAGCTCCTACTGCAGTCGTACAGAGACCGGATCGGCCGTTGTAACGGGTCCGGCACCCGGCACCCCATACTCCCGCAGCACCCCCCACAAGACCCCCTGAGGGACCCGGTCGAAAGCCTTCTCCAAGTCCACAAAGCACATGTAGACTGGTTGGGCAAACTCCCAGAACCCCTCCAGTAGTCTTGCGAGGGTAAAGAGCTGGTCCACTGTTCCACGGCCGGGACGGAATCCGCACTGCTCCTCTTGAATCTGAGGTTCGACAAACGGTCGGAGCCTCCTTTCCAGCACCCTGGCATAAGCCTTCCCTGGGAGGCTGAGTAGTGTGATACCCCGGTAATTCGAGCACACTCTCCGGTCCCCCTTTTTGAAGATGGGAACCACCACCCCGGTCTGCCATTCCATGGGCAC